CTTGGTGGGTGTGACTGGGTCTTGCTGGTGTGCCTCAAAATCAGAGGCACAAGCCCAAGGGTTGGGCCCCCCATTTTGTAGAGTAGGGAATGTGGCCAGTGGTGACCAAGACTAGGCAGGTGGCTCAAGTAGCTTTGATAGGCAGGATGTGGTGGAACTTGGTGGGTGTGACTGGGTCTTGCTGGTGTGTTGACTGTTGTTGATGATTTTCAATTGCATTCATCTTCACTACTCAATGAGTACCTGATTTCTGCATGGCATACCATTTTGTAGCAATCAGTGACCTTGGGCCCCCCCATTTTGTAGCATTGGCCTAGCCCTTCCCTACAAAACGGGTCCATATTTTTTAGAGTCATTTTGTACGGATGGGACGTTGGTCGCTGTCATTTTGTAGTGATATTTACTACCAAATAGGGACCCCGACGCCTCACCCTGAATATCAACGATGATCCTAAACGCAAACGGTAAGAGGACGATGCAACCATGGACCATGAACCCAAACCAAGACCGGACTTTTAAAGAGAAAAAGGACAGAAGAAGGAAACACTTACCAGTTCCAACAGAGACAACACTGGAAAGAAGGCGGACGAAAGAGAAGGAAAGATAGACGGAAAAGAGAGAGAGAGAATCAAACGGAATAACTTAACGTAGAGACTCCTTGCCCCCATTCGCAATCTGTGTTTCAGGGCTTGAGCATGCTTCGAAAAGTGGTCCGCGATGCCCTGGATGGGATGCTTTGCGGCGTTTTGAACAACCGCCTGTGGATTTTTTTTTTGCCTGTTAGTCTTTCCTTTCTTTCCTTCCTTCCCTCCCTTCCCTTCCTTCCCTGTCCTTTCCTTGACTGTTTTTCCTTTCTTTTGTATTGTAAAACAATGGTTTCCAGCAGAAAACCGTCTGACATTTGGATGCGTATGCGTGCACTTGAAGGCGCCCTCAGGTACATGTGCCTGCCACCCACATTTGCGAATATGTTCATGAATGCAGGTGTCTCAAGAGAATGCGCAATGGTAGACCAGGGGTTCGTCGCACAAGTTGTGTTTAGGTCAGGGTGCCGTTGTGTGGGGTGTTTACGCGTCAGCGCAAACATTCACATGGAAGCAGGCGCCTTGAGTAGATGGAAGTCGGCAACCTTTTGTGGTGCTGTTGTGTAGCCGGACTCTTTTAGAAAGTGGGTGGTGGCGTTGAGCTGCGCTTCCACGCAGTGTGTTTGGAAAGTACAAATGTTCATAAGCGCGAAACTTGTTCATGGACACTACAGTATGTCTCTTGACGTTGACAGTGATGGTAGCAGAAAACCAACAAAACCAGCAATGTAAAAGAAGTGTTTTTGGTCTGCGTGCAAGACTCTCAGAAGGAAGAACTCTCCGTGGTTTGCGCACTGTCGGAGTGTAGTTTAACGTACTGCGCTTTGCCTTGTTGGCGGCAGTCAAGAAGAAGCAGCAGCAGTGATGGTGGTGGTGCGGCGGTGGCAGTGGAAGTAGAGGTAGAAGAAGAAGCAGACGACGAAGAAGTACCAGACTACTAGTAACTAGTAGTGAGTAGTTGTGCCACGGTGCATAGACGGCCGTGGTGTTTCGTCCGCTTTTGCGTTTTCGTGCGCTATTTACAGTCGTTTTGTCATGGACGGCTCATCAATATACTATACCGAGAGACTCCTGACCTTCTGGAATAATTTTGACACAGAACAATATTCATCAACGTGGCCATCAATCATGGTTGAGGGGGGTCTGGGGAACAACGTCAAGGTATGTCAAGGTCACTTCGCGCAATACGTCAGCTTGAGTTGTTCAGATGTTCACGCCCATAAAAATATGTTTTGATTGTGCGCAGTAAGGGCGGAAGACATCGGGAAATTGTTTGAATAGTTCTTGTGCGCGTATTTGTTCTTGGTCACGCCTCTGCATGTGGGCTCATAAACAAGCAAAGAGCCGATGTTTGATGAGGTGGTTCCGTGCGTCGTGCGCGTACTTTTTTGGCGGCTGATCTTCCGCAGAGATATGGAGGGGGTAAGCCCTCTTCCGGAATACTATCCAGCTGTACACCCCTACGAGTAATTTCCAGCGTACGTGTACCCTACCACGACAGTGCCTTTATTTTCCGACGTTGGGTCCCTCGTCATTTGTATCAATAGTGGCCCCCC